CGTTTTCATGTACGCGACATCTAAGGAGCCCCTGAAGGGAATTTCATTACATATGGCAGAAACATCCACTTGGACTCAAGGATGAACCGCGATAACTCAGGAACAGAGGAGGAGATTGTGACCATGTTTCACATTTGGTTGGATCCTAAGTGTGTGACACTAATCTTGGGGGCCCACCTTGAAACTGTGGAGATTGTATAGATGTTTGTTGAAGATGTGTGTGTAGCATCCACGTTTAAGAATTTGTAGCTTCTTTGCAGCAACATTCATATTTGAATCATTGACTACAGTCACGGCTACAACTGTGTGGTCTTTCAGAATCAGCTTTATTGGCCACACATGTAAACACATAAAAGGAATTTGACAGAACAAGAACTACAAGGCTTAACAAAGTGATTTTTATTCATAAATCCCTATATCACAAATAACAAATTTGCCTCAAAATAGACTCTCATCTTGGTTAAGGAACAGCTATCATTTATTGGCAAAATGGAAGAAACCTCAGGAAGAGGAACCCTAACCTTGCTCTGTCCCTTCCTGAAGAGAGCTCTGTATTGTGAATCCAGTCCACTTTTTTATTGATTCGGACCCCAAGGTACTTCTGTGAGTCCACCCTCTTCACTTCCCCTTCCTGGATGACAACCAGGACAGAGGGCTTCCTGTTCCTCTGGTAGTCGACCACAAGCACATTGGTTTTGTATTGAGCTGAAGGTCATTGTTGTTGTGATGAAGCTCTCCATCAGTCCTCTGTACTCCTCTGTAAAAATAGTCTTTCACTGAAGAGAGAGCATGTTTCTCACTGAAAATTTGTCACTGGAATCATGTAAATAATGATAACTTCCATTAAAAAAATAGACTTAACACCTTTTATTAAATTCTTTGAAAAGACCTCAGTACATAATATGGAGACATGGATGTAAACTGCAGTTTGACTGATTGGTAGATGGCGAGGCAGTAATTCTAGTATTAAACAAAGCCTGTTCATATGCCAGGCTGTTTACTATATGACAAACATTTAGGATATTTATTAAAATACATATTTACCATATTTACAGTATTTGATACATTGTATAAAGTGCTGTTCTGCCAGCGCATTTGTATGAGAATATTTAGACTAGACACATACTATTACAAAGTGCACTGGCAGGAGAGATCCAGAAGATGCTGCTAATGTACTGCCTTCGTACTGTTTGACCCTGTTGGGGTTCATGGAGAGGACACTGCTGGCATCATCTTTAACAAACCTTTTGCCATTCCCAGAGGCCTTGTTTATGCATTCATATACTGCAGTCTGTAGTGATATTGCCCTGTCACAACAGAAAGATCAGGAATTTTTTTAATCATTTCAAACTCATTTGACAGTGTGGCTGATAGAAAAGAAATTCTTTTTGCATACTGTCAGACTCAGTAGGCTCATTGGCAAAGCAACACTGCACTGTTCTCACATAGAGCTGTGCCAGCACAGAAACCTGAATTGAGGAAGAAATTAGCCCCATTTAGGTTACTAATGTTATTAATGGTTAGTTAAAGTTTGAACTTTGACTGAAATTTAGTCGAAAACGGGTTTTGCATAGATATCAAGCTAGTCTTGGCATGTAAGGCTGAATGATACAAGTAAAATTAACAGTTGACACAGTTGGTGAAAGGGCAGAGGCATGCGGGCTTGGCCCCATAATTCAGCATAGTTAATGGCATGCTGAATGTGCAGTTTAGGAGAGATCTTGAATTAATATTGATAATGAAAGCTCCAGCAGGCAGTCATTTGAGAACACCTGTTCCTCATCATGTGCATGTAAAAACACTGACACAGGGCTGCGCTGCTGTTAATTCTCTCCTGTCACCGCATAAGCAAATCACACTTCCTCCTCCTACACCTCCTCACCAATACCAGTGCAAGGGCCTGTTGAGGGGTATAGTGTATGTGCATATATACTGTAAATATATGGCAGATTCTGCAGCCTAACTGGTTGAAGGTCAAGAGCAAGGTCAGTGCAGCATGTAGGATATTCAGTGTGCGGATGACAATGGCATTGACCTCAAATGTATCCTGAATGCTACAGAGCTCTGGGACTTGTTAAGCACATTTCCGTTTAGTTTAATTATCACAAAGTAACAAACATACAGCAAATCTAGAGGGTAGTATTCCAGTGTAGGAATACTGGGGGATTTTTCTTGGACCATATGTTGGAGGAACATGTGTCTGTGGAGGCTCAACCAGGGTCCACAGCTCTTTGTTGTAGGGATGCACAATATTAGATTTTTGTCAGTATTCGATATGCCAATACTTTACCAATACATTGCCAGTGCCGATATATACACACATGTTTTCCAACAAATGTACACATTCTTATTCAAACTAAACTAAAGTCAACTTCAGTCAACTTTAACAGGCTTGGATGATGCTCTCCCTGAGACAATCCTGACAACAACCAAGAAACAATTTACCTATTTCAGTATATTGCGCTGATATACGCACGTGACATGCCTTATTCCATAATCAC